AGTGCCTTAGTAAATGAAACAATGAATCACAGTGTTGTGGGTTCTTTTGGGTAATGCTGATTGCTAATTTGACTCCTGAACCACTGAGGTCTGACTATCATTGGCTTAGAAGACCTAATCATTGATGCTCGCTGCACTGTGCCAGGAACAGTTCAAACACAGAACAAAACCACCATCCCTGTCCCAAACACTTTGCTGTTTCCTCTCTTAAGTGATCTTCACATAGTTCCTCAAACAGATATATTTTAATTGCATAATACACAGATATGCACACAAAAATTCACTTCTTGGCTGGTGCAAGCAGGAGACATTTCAGCCCCAAAAGGAAAAACTTGAAAAGTTGGGAGCAAATCAAAAAAGGAAGCGGAAAGCCTTCTTTAACCATAGGATGACTGTTAATACACAGACATTGACTCATTTAAATAATTTAGGGCCAAATTCTGCCATCATTGACTTCTATGTAAATCTGAAATAACTGAACATTGTGAAGTCATTTCAAATCCACATCGCTAAGAGCAGAATTTGACATACAATCTAAAACTATTTATTTTGAAACGCACCTTTTCCTCCACAACTCTTTCACAGTTATAGTCCTAATTCTGCACTGCTCAAGCGTGGGGACAGCAGCGCCCCTAAGAAACTTGACAAGATATATTGCTTTCTTAGTCCATTACCGGAAGTTGCCTGCAGACATGTAGCAAGAAGGGGAATCTTTGCATACCTAAGGACCATCAAATGGCAATTCTGCACAGGCTGATACAGGCTCAGCACCTATATAACAGCTCATTCTTATATTTTTGAAACTAACCTCCTCCCCCAAGCATGTTGGTGTGAACAGGCTAGAATACAGTGTTGTCTCATCTCCTCCTATAGTGTTAAACCTGATGGAATACAAGCAAAGTTCCCACACCTAAAGATAGGGACCTAGAAGTTAGGTGCCTATATACCTTTGGAGGCATGGATCAAAAATTCCTTGGACAGTTTTAGGCTCCCACAGCCTAAACAGAATTAGGGATATGCCATTCTGCACTTGTGATTGTTGGCTCCTAAACTAGGCATGAAAATAGCCAATGAGCACATGCACAAATCAGGTACTTGTCGGGACTGGTGGCCAGTTAAGCACTGTGGGCTTGACCGTCTTTCCATTCAGCCAATGGCAAAACTCTCATGGACTTATATGTGAGTGGGAGCTGCATAAGTGTATGAACCCAAGATGTACTGCCTTGTTTTGGAAATTTGGCCCAAACCAATTGATGGTAAGAAGGGCAAGAGAAAACAAGAAGTGTGTCACCAATCTGCTTTCCCTTTTTTCCCTTCCCCCCCCCTCAGCTTAATAGGAAGCCATAACTAACACACTGTAAAAATGCCTTATATTTCACTGTGAAATCAGTCATGTCACTGGGAATAATGACACTGTTCTGTCACATCATCTCTTGGCTGTGAAGCTCAGGGTTTCTGGTTATTTATTAGCATTAAAACACAATGTCAGGTAACCGTGCCAGCTGTCATTGTAAATAGAACTGTGATAGTTTGAAAAATCCTCCAGGCACACACGCGCCAAAGTGAGATGCAGCAGCTAACAGGTTCCATTATAAACACAGCCACATGTTATCTTATATAACTACAATCTTTTGCAATGTGCTAGAACTGAAGTGAGAGTACTTCTGTGTGAAACAGAGGGATGGGTTGCCTGTCCTGCATAGTGTAAGTTAAAAAGTAATGGGCTAGACTGCCGGTGTGAATTGGCATTGTGCCATTGACTTCAGTAGAGTTATGCTGTCTGGGGATATGTGGCGATATAAGAGAGCAATCAGTGTGGCTAATGGTTGAAATGGAAATGGCAGAGAGGGTGGAATCCTGCTCCCACTGAAGTCAATGGCAAAAGTCCTGTGGAGTACAATGGGTCTAGCATTTCACCTGGGCTACATCTACACTGGCATGATTTTCCGGAAATGCTTTTAACGGAAAAGTTTTCCGTTAAAAGCATTTTCGGAAAAGAGCGTCTAGATTGGCAGGATGTTTTTCCGCAAAAGCACTTTTTGCGGAAAAGCGTCCGTGGCCAATCTAGACGCGGTTTTCCGCAAAAAAGCCCGATTGCCATTTTCGCGATCGGGGCTTTTTTGCGGAAAACAAATCTCAGCTGTCTAGACTGGCCCTTTTGCGCAAAAGTTTTTTGGAAAAAGACTTTTGCCCGAACGGGAGCAGCACAATATTTCCGCAAAAACACTGACAATCTTACATGAGATCGTCAGTGCTTTTGCGGAAATTCAAGCAGCCAGTGTAGACAGCTGGCAAGTTTTTCCGGAAAAGCGGCTGATTTTCCAGAAAAACTGGCCAGTCTAGACACAGCCCTGAGGTATTAAGGTGCTTTGCCCTGTGACCTTTAGTAAGTCTCTGAACCTTTGTGCCTCTTTGCCCCAATCAGGAGAAAGAGGAGAAACTAACATTTATGTTTTGAAGCATCTTGTGATCCTCAGAAGAAATTTATTTGTTAGTTAAGGGATCAGGATGCCAAGAGGGCTCACCAAGGAGCATCAGCTCTCCAATCTCTCACCCTTGGTTCCTGTCAGGATCACTGAGGTATGTGAGGTAGGTGGAAGAACAGCTGTGGCATTCTTTAACCATAATGGTCACTAGTCGTTGGTGTTCGTTAACTTCTCACAACACCAAACAGTTTTAACCAGTTCAGCTGAAATTCCTCTCCCCCTTTCAATTACTCACTTTGTTTCTTGTCTGTTCTAATTTTACCAGTCATCATAGAGTCTTCCCGAGGACACAAGATGTACATTTCTAATCTAAAAATAAACCAAAACTCTTTTGTCTACTCCCCATATTTTCAGTTCTTCTTTATAGATTGTAAAGAAGCAATAAAAGGCAAGAGCCTATATTTCCACTGGCAGATCAGCTTCTCTACGTCTGTTTAAGATCACTCCAGAGTTTGTGATGACTAGCGTGCCTTAGCTTTAATAAATTGCTGAGGACCCCATGCTGCAATTATGACTCACACGAGTAAAACTTAATTATAGGACTGAACCTATTGCAATCCAGAGGGATTGCTGTTGGCAAGGATTATTCACAGCTTTATGTGTTGCAGGGTAGGATCTTACTTCTTTGTCACCCAATAAAATCCTTTAATTTCTGGTCATTTAAAGTATTTATTTCATGTTCTATAGACATTTGAGATTACAGATGAGAAAACCCAAAGAATCACCGACTCCCTAATTGGTCTTTCAATCAATGGAAGTGAACAGCGCATTGGCTGGTAGTCTGCTAGGAGTTAGCTGGTCACTTAGGGTACGTCTAAACTACATGCCTCCATCGACGGAGGCATGTAGATTAGATAGATCGGCAGAGGGAAATGAAGCCACGATTAAAATAATCGCGGCTTCATTTAAATTTAAATGGCTGCCCCGCTCTGCCGATCAGCTGTTTATCGGCAGATCGGGGCAGTCTGGACGCGCCGCGGCGACAAAGAAGCCTTTCTTGATCGGCACAGGTAAACCTGGTTTCACGAGGCATACCTGTGCTGATCAAGAAAGGCTTCTTCGTCGACGCAGCGCGTCCAGACTGCCCCGATCTGCCGACAAACAGCTGATCGGCAGAGCGGGGCAGCCATTTAAATTTAAATGAAGCCGCGATTATTTTAATCGTGGCTTCATTTCCCTCTGCCGATCTATCTAATCTACATGCCTCCGTCGATGGAGGCATGTAGTTTAGACCCCAGAACACATCTACACCTGTCCCCCTAAATGTCCACAGGAAGTAGAGGAAAATATAGTTAGATCTCTGTTGGAGGCTGGTGCAGGATAATCCATTATTTTGGACTGATTTAAATTAGTGTATCCTTATTTAGGAATTATGTCATTTACATATTTATTGTGTAATAATTTTGCAATAATATCTACATAAGCACTTTCCATTTAAAAACCAATTTACAGCCATTGGTGAATTACCACAAGGTATTTTAAGGTTGGTAATCATAAATGTGATTGGCTACACTTTCTAAACTGAAGCAGAGTGATTAGGTATCTTAACTAATCCCATAGAATGAGTCCTTATCAGAGTTGGTCTTAGAACAGGTTTGTAGCCCAGGGCCCAATCTCCCTGGACAACACTACCTCCTGATCTTCACGTTTTGTTAAATGTAAAGAAAAGAGGCAATGGAGAGTATTAATGACCAGGCCCAGATGATGAAATGTATTTATTTGAAATCAATGGGAGTTAGATGCCTAAATATCTCAAGAGGATCTGGGCCCTGATCCCTAACTCAAAGACTGACTTCTAGCCAGCACTGCTACCTTGGTCTGGAAGCTGCAGGTAATGAAAGCAAGTGTGTGTGTGAGTACATGAACATCCAATGATTCCTAAGCCATAAAAATGTAATTCATTTTCCTTTTTTGGGGACTTATTTCCATAGATATCCAGGTTCTTCATTACAAAAGAAAAAGTTATCGGATGTCTATAAATGCACCTAGAAACAACAAAGCAGCAGAATAGCTGCCTCCAGAGAAGGAAATGGAAGGAGATGTGCTCAGATATGACATTCACCAGTGGAAATGCTGCTACCTACCATCAGAAGGAGTATGAAACCACCAGGCAGGGGAGAAGAGGGACAGCATATCTCAGGAAGCAGAAAAACCAATTTGTGGAGAAGCTTATAGCAGAAGGAGAGGAGAAAAAGGGTACCAGCCAGAAGCGAATCATGTGCAAAGGATCATAGAGGTAGGCACAGAACACACAGGCAGATGAAATGAAGGACAAAATGAGGCAGCATAAGAATGGTTTAAAAATGGTTTTATACCTTATTAAAGATACCTAGGAATTCTTTTCTAATGTTACTTTTCCCCATAAGCAACTTCTGCAGTTGCTGTGGGAATCACAAAAGGAAACATGGAGTAGGTGACAGGTGTTTGAGACGACAACAACATCATCCCAAAAGCTATGATCTAATGAGTATATCAGATCTGTTATAATAAAATTATATCTCAATTAATTGTCAGCTAATTCTGATTAATCTGAATCAGATTCTGATTAATCGGATGAATTGGACTTTGATGAATCAGAATCCAAATCCGATGAGTATAGCAGTTGTGGTAGTAGTTGTCATCTGCAAGTTGGTCCATAATTTGGTATGCTACAATGCGTGATGTCCTCTACACAGTGCTCACAATAAGGGCCACAAGGTTGGGGTCCATGCTTTGGTGCAAAATCCAGAAACCATTGACACCATTTTCATTGACAAATCTTGCTAGTGTAGACATAGCCTAAGGGACATGGAAGTTTAGGAGAACTGATTTATATTAGGTATTTGGAAAATCTTTTCAACTCTTAAGGCTATGACTACACTACCAGGTTATTTTGAAATAACTCCCAAAATAACTATTTCGAAATAAGCCTATTCCTCTTCACAAGCAGGAGTTATTATTTCAAAATAACAAGCTTGGTAGTGTGGACACCAGTATAGACATGCCCTAAGAGTGGTTATACTCTGGAATAGGCTTCCAAGGGGGTTGTGGAAGCCATATACCTGGAGATTTTAAAGAACAGGTTGGACAAACACCTGTCAGGGATGGTCTAGGTTTATTTGCAGGGGTCGACAAATAATACAATCTACTCGCTCGTGGCAGGTTCGGGCAATCTGCACATGCACAGAACGATCTGCACATGCACAGATCGCCAGACAGCGTGGCTGGCGAGTGAGGCTCGCCGCAATTCGGCGAGCCCTGTTTATTTGGTCCTACCACAACACCAGGATGATGCTTGATGACTTTTCAAGGTCCCTTCCAGCCCTTCATTTCTGTGGTTCTGTGCTTAACCTTCATCCCATAAGGCCTCCTACTAATTGCTGGATCAGGCCACAGTGCTCAGCACCTTGCAGCAGCAAGCCCTACGATACGGATACTCTTGTAATCCTTTCATTTCAAGACCTTTTTTATTAGGATTTTAAAAACGCAGGTATTTAAGGCCAGATTTTTAAAGCTGTTTAAATGTGTAACTCTCATGGAAATGAATGGGAATGAGGTGCCGCATACCATTAGGAATCTGGTCCTTAGTCCATAAAGCCTTCTAGTATAGAAAACAGTCCATATATGGAAAGTCAAAGAAAGTGGGAATGACAATATAATTTCTACTACATTATGTTTATTACTTGTTATGCCAAGCACTCTGAAGTCCTTAAACAGAGGAGGTCAAGATAAACAGTGATTTGTGTTTGAAGACTGAACTTTTTGTACCTCTACAGCATGCACACAATGGCTATTCTAGTTCCTCTCTCACAAGCATCTCATCTGTGCCATAAAGGACTTTTTTTTCCTCCTTGACAAATATCTTCATTTGCTTAAAAGCTCATTAGCACTCTTTAACTTGCATTGAAGGCTTGACTCCCAGCCTCAAGCACCAAGAAATGTAGGGTCAAGGTTTCTGCTACATTTTTATGTTACTGTGTCACAGCTGAACATGGTACAGTTCAGAGACAAGTACAGCACAAGCAGTAGCAGCTTCTTTGGCACCCAGATAACAAGCCAGGAGTGTGATTCTAAAGCTAAGAAGGTAAATTATTCTCTCTGCCCCTTTCAGGATTGTCACCAATGCCATCTATCTATAGTTTCTTTGTAACATGGGTAGCTATGCTGTAAGAACAGGATTGAATCACTAATTTAATTTGTTTAGGCCACTGACTGGCCATACAGCAGTAAACAGACATTAGCTAGACTTGGCTTCAGTCCCAACAGACATTAGCAAGACTCGAAGCAGTAAACTATAATGTTGGTGAAAACTGCACTGAGGAGGCATTTTTGTCAGCTAGGATATGCAGAGCCATGGACTGGTGGCTTTCTTTCAAACGTCTATCAAAGAAAAGCCATTCTTCTTCACCTCTTCTCGGAATGTTTGCTTGACTCTACTGAAAATGTGCCCCATATCACTCCTAACACTTTATATTTCTGTCACACTTCACATGTTCACAACCCTGTATAAATATCAAGGAATAAAACCTCTTAACATCTCTGCGAAATAGCTCAGTGTTATTATTCACATTTTACAAAGGGGGAAAGCGAGGGAAAGAAAAGTGAAGTGACTTGCGTAAGTCAAGACAGCAAATCTGTGGCAGAGCCAGGTGTAGTATTCATAACTTCTTGACACGCAATCCTGGGCTTGTTAGGGGATTAATGCTGTCATTGCATGGGTCTTAGGGTATCACCAAACAAGTGGACCACTGTGGGAGTGGGCTAAGGAGCCAACAGAGCAGCATGCAATCCAAAGACAGCCAATGATTCACCCATACAGCTTCAGACAAGGCCCCATTGTGCATATGGCTTTGAAACAGTGCAGCAAGGAGGGCTGTGTCCGCAGCTACCTCTCCATCAGGCCGAGACAGACACGTCATGGGGTGGCCAACCTCCAGACATGTTTCTGCAGAGCTGCCTGGGCTTGGGGTCGTAATATTTGTAGTGTGACTGCTGGTCTCCTGCAGTTCCCTGCATGGTTGGCCCCTGCACTGCCAACCAGTAAGCACAAAGGAATGTGATTTTGAATGGTGGGTGAGGAGTGTCTTCCAGAAGTAGCTGCTCCCTCCTAGATCACAGAGTCTGCAGGGGCTGTGGTTCCATGTCCCAACTCTACCCCTTCTGCCCTTGCACACTCCTGGAGTGTGTCTAAACTACATGGCTCCATTAATGGAGCCATGTAGTTTAGACACACTCCAGGAGTGTGCAAGGGCAGAAGGGGTAGAGTTGGGACATGGAACCACAGCCCCTGCAGACTCTGTGATCTAGGAGGGAGCAGCTACTTCTGGAAGACACTCCTCACCCACCATTCAAAATCACATTCCTTTGTGCTTACTGGTTGGCAGTGCAGGGGCCAACCATGCAGGGAACTGCAGGAGACCAGCAGTCACACTACAAATATTACGACCCCAAGCCCAGGCAGCTCTGCAGAAACATGTCTGGAGGTTGGCCACCCCATGACGTGTCTGTCTCGGCCTGATGGAGAGGTAGCTGCGGACACAGCCCTCCTTGCTGCACTGTTTCAAAGCCATATGCACAATGGGGCCTTGTCAGAGCATGTTGTGTGGTGATCAAGTGTGCATAGCTCTCCAGATCCTCAGTGACAGGGTCACCACACCATGCTTATGCTCTGTGCAGTGGTACCACTGGCACAGTCCAGCCTTACTGGCAGGGTTAAGCCCTCCAAACATCACATTTGCGAAGAACTTTGGGCCTGACACAAAACCCGCAAAAGTCAAGGGGAGCTCTTTTCCATCAATTTCAATGACCTTTGGCTCAGGCAGATCCTTGCTGCATTTGAGTAATGCTCTTGACTGAAAGGCGGCTATTCCTGGGCATTAAGTTACTCACATGCATTGGCAGGACTGGTGGTGGACTCACTGTCTTCACTTTGGAATCCTAATATAAGGACTCTATTACTTATTATTGCAGGGTTATCCAAAGGGTAGCAATGCATATAGAATGCTCTTTGGATGACATATTAAGAGGAAGCAAATGTATACACTCTTCTAATCCAGAGACTGTGATCTGGAGGGGGAAAGTGCTACAAGTTTTACAGCTTTTTGTCAGCACCACTGGGCCAGGCTTTCAAGGTTAGCTGTAATCACCGACTCTTAACAACATTTTATAGAGGCTTCGATAGGTGCTTTAAAAAATAGCATTTCTGATTTTATTTTGTCATAATCTCTTAGAAGGCCAGAATGTTATCACCTTGTTCCACTCATTTAACAAACATTCTGAGCCAGACTTTTTGGAGGTACATGCTAGCTGAGGATCAGGCCTTTTGTTTCCAAACAACTCTGCCCACGTACCATATGTTATTTCTTTCTTTCCTACATCCTTTATTACAATATATTGGCATGAAAACAGTCTATTGTAATAACCAATTGATAAATAATGCAAGAGATGCTATTTAATAACTGTAACTTATTCAATTATAATCATGGTTCCAACTGACTATCCATGTTTTTTATTCAGTACATTCCATTTGGAAAACTTGTCAAGCAGTTTGATTTAATTTCAAAAGTAGAGACGTCTGCTAATCTAAGTTCTTGCAGCAGGATCTGTTAACTGGATGTGTCATACTCCTGAATCATCCCATGCCCTGTATAGCCCCATTGGTGCTATCCACAGTATAAAACATTGTAAGCCACTGCCCTGAAAAGGTTACAACCTAATGAAACAAGACAATAATTATGACAAAAAAAGGAGGAGAGAAGACAAAAGTAATAAAAAATAGGATCAGACAGATCCACAGATAAACTAGTGCACAACTTAATGGGTTTAAATTAAGAAATAAAATATTAAATTAAGAAGTAAAATAAATGAGGCACAATCTGTGGGCTGACTTCCAGTTACAGCTATTTCAAATGGAATTTCAGAAAATTAAAGTAATAAAAACACTGCCATTTTTCTTACGCTTTTGCAAAAGTTTGTTTTTACAAAAATCTAAATGTGGGCCAAATGTCAGGTGACGTTGTTGACATAAGCCAGTGAGAACCAGCTTTATAAGTCTATCGGGGTGGCCAAACTTACTGACCCTCTGAATTGCATACGATAAACTTGAGAAGAGCTGGGCACACCTGCTAGGGCTCAGGACTTCCAATGGGTGACATGGTGGTGGGGCTTCAGCTCTGCTCTTGCTGAAGCTTCAAGCCACAGAAGGCATCGCCTGCAGGACTGAAGCCCGGAGCACAGTGATGCAGTCAATGGGCTTCCCCCTTCCTGCTGGGGAGAACTCCATAACCCCACCATCCCACGACCAGGTAGAAGCCTCTAGCTCACCTCCTCTCCAGTCTGGTAGGCAGAAAATAGGAGAGCTTGAGGGGACTGCAAGAGCCACACGTGAACTGTAATACGGTGGCACACAAGCCACATGTATGTCACCCTGAATTATATGTAAGAGCATATCATTGCTCTCTTTTGAGCATGATTGGATATATGCTAAAACTTCATCTTCTAGTAAAAACGCAACATTTTAGATTGAGAGTTGAAGTTAATTAATGCCACAGTAAAATCACTTCTTATCTGATGACATGTCCAATTAACCTAGCTCATATGAAATACCCACATGGTCATAAAATTCAGTAATTCTCAAAGAACTCCTAGGTCCTTGGGTTACTATTCTGATCTATCTTCACAATATTTTCCAGTATTTTCAGTCGTTACACTTTTTAAATAAAACCTCAAAGGACATCTCTAATTTTGACATCAGGCACATGCTTGCTAGGTGCTTAACCTGAAAATAACCCTATCGGATCATTTGTCATGATCAGAGGCATAGTTCACACCTTCAGGATCGCTGAAAGTATGGCAGAGTGCAGGATATTTTCCTTTGCTTATTTCTTCATCTGCACGTGGTGCCTTCTCTTCTTTCCTCAGACTGAAGGAATCAGATTTCATTCAGCTCGTTTGAATCTCTGTTTTCTTGATCTTGGCTGCTTTCTGTGGCTAGTACCAAATAATTTAAGCCTTCCACGTTCCTGGATTCCATTAAAGTCGCTGAAATAGTACTTTGTGAACCAGTAGATGGGGCATCACCATCTGCATCTGAAAGAAAGGCTGCTTTTTTACGACCAATTCAAATGCAACATTAGAAGACAAAGAGTGTCAAGCATCAGGTAGAAAAAGGAAATCTAGCAACCCCAGAAGGCGTGACAGCTTGCATTTATTCTCTACTCCAGCATGCCTGTATTATATCCTGAATCAGAAAATTCATCACCACTCATAACGAAAAGGACAGTAATACAGTTATAAATAAGTTATTTGCTTTTCCTGCTAGGAAAGACTGTGTGCATATTGCAAGAATGTTTGTAACTTTTTGGAAGCAACTTCTAACCATTGTAAAATTGTCCCACCATCTAAACACATTCTTGCCTACTAGCTAAAGACTGGGTAAAGTATAGATTGATCCATTCTCTGCTGTGCTTCTAGTGTCAGAGACTTAAAACCTAACAGGTTTTGTTCATTTCTGACTCCTTTAAATTACAGTATTCTAATTTTGTATTGCTTATACTTGCAGATATGCCCAGAACTGGTGATGGACATATCTTTTAAAACCCAAAAAATAACAGAATAACTAAAAAGCTTGAGTTATTGTTGGTATTCTGTGTAACATATACCTTTTTAATTAGATCCCTACTTACTTTTATTTCATGACTGGAGAATGAAACATATGACACCCAGAGTCATCTACATGAATATGAAGTGTGTGACATCCAGGTTCATCAACACTAGGAACCACAAGCATTGTGCTGTTCTACCCAGAGGTAGGGATGTGAACAAACCTGGCTTATCAGTTAATCTAGTCGACTACTCGCATTCCCCTCCTTGCTGCCTCTATATCAGAGGCATCAAGGGGAGGAAGCAGGAGCCGGTGCTGGGAGGAGCCAGCATAAAAGCCGGTTCCCACCAGCACCAGCTCTGCAGAGCCACCTGCCCTTGCCCCACAGAGGCAGCAGCTCAGGGGGGTTAGGGGAGATTGCCTCAGAGCAGCCTCTGTCCACGGCAAACCTGGGCCCACCGAAGGCAGAGGCTGCTTCATGGCAGCCTCCCATAGTCCCACAGCAGCCTCTGTCCGTGGGGAGCTCAGACCCCTCCCCGTGGACAGGGGTTGCTGCCACCCCATGCTGCTGCTTCTGTATCACAGTCAACAGCGCAGGGTGGCAGGCAGCTAGTCCGTGACAGGAGCTGGCTTTTAAACTGGCTTCTGTAGTGAACTGGCTCTTGCCTGGCACCCCACGCTGCTGCCTCTGATACAGCAGTGAGAGGTATCAGGGGGCTCCCCAAGAGTGGGGCCAGATTGCACTGGCTGCTGGCCCCGCCCCCGGAGACTATAGAATAGTCAATTAACCACTAAGAATTCATGCGGCTAGTCAACTATTCTATTAACTGATTATATTTAATTTATTATGTTGATTCATCCACATTTTCCCCCTCCTTCTCTGTGCAATGAAGAACTCAGAAGTTAATTGGGTCCACATTAATACAGTCAATTCAGAAAGATTATCAGGAAAAAAGAAGTTTAATTTAAGAACCCTATTTGGAAGAGGGAAGTTGGGAGACAGATCAAGCTATGTTCCCATCCTATGATGACCGACAGCCAAGAACAATCATTTGATAATTCCTTTGTCAGTTCAGACTTATCTTTTTTTTTTTTTTTTTTTTTTTTTTTGTGCTTTATAAAGCATCTAATGGAGACTGTCAGGGGCAAGCTGCCTTTGAATAAGCTCGTTGGACACACACTGAGGGAGTATTCTCAGCACACTCTTAAGAGGGAAACATTAAAATAAGGACTTCCAAGTAAAACCGGGTATTTATGGACCAGACATATGCCGGCTGACCAGCCTAAGTATAGAACACTAAAGGAGCATTCAGATTTGTTTCCTGTATAAGTATCTGGAACTGATGAGGTGATGGTTACACAAATGTGAGCATGAAGTCATTGCGATATTTTTACCAGATATATGGATACATTACTAATTCTTTCCCCATCAGCTCTGAAGGATCTCAGAATATCATTAATACTAAATATTATTTTTCATGCCACTGTAACTCCCATTAAAGAAAAAGACATCTTGCAACTAACTTTTCGCCCTGTTTTTAATCTTTGAGCTTTGAAGGCAAAATAAGAAGAAGGACGATTTTGCAGAAGCATTCAATATAGTGTACAAAGCCAGAGAAACAACACAACCCTGTTCAATACTGTATTCCTTACCTTTATGACATGACAGCAGCCAGTTAGAAAGTCACCAATGCTTTGCCATGTTTACCCTCTAAAGCTGAATGT